CAGAGCTTAGAACCCAGCTACTCTTCCGGTTGCTGTCAATGATGAGGAAGGCAAAGCAAAACGACGCAAAGATCATCATCGTGATGACCATGATCTGTCGTGTGGCGCCTCCAACCAGAGAGTTCGAAATTGCATGGATTGGCAATCCTGAGGCGTGGAGACGGCAGGTGTAGATGATGGTCCAACTTCTGAATAGGACATTAGTTGAAAGAAAAAGGAGCTCCTCCTCCGGAAAGGACGTCAGCTTTTGCACTGAGCTTTGTGCACTGTATGAGAACACCAGCTGGATGAGCGATAGTAAAAGCGTCGGAAGGCACCAGGTTGCAAGAGTAGAAGATCGCAAGCTCCACATGCTCTGCATTAAAGGACTCTGATGACCCAGTTGCTTGCTCGACCAGTTAAACAGTAGCACAAGCAGAAGCAAAATGTCCCGAAAGCCGCTGGAGGTCATGATGACCCAAGACACGGCAGCCCACGTACCTTCCTTAGTGTTGATGGAGAGTGTGTGCAACCCGGCCAAGCCCCAGTGAACGCAGCATACGAGCTCGACCACCATGCAAAAGAGATTGAAGTGCCACGCAGTCTGGAACAAATTTTCCCACAAGCAATGGACGATCCCCTGGATGGACAGCTTTCCAAAAACGGGCAAGTCCTGGCTCTCAACTCTTGACATGGCCATCACAATGTCCATGTCCAACATGTTGGGGATCAAGAGAGCCTTGACACAGACGGAGCTAACATGGTCCCGGCTCTGTCTAGATTTGTGCACCGCCGGGATAAAGTCCGCGTGCCACTGGATGTTTGGCTGCTGGTCAAATGATTTCTGGCTGTCAAATTTCCAGCTCGGGATGAGGAGACTATCTTGCACAACTACATCTGGGCGATAAGTGCAGTGCATAGGCAGGTTGCTGAAGAGCCCCCAGAAACTCGTTTTATTGGGCACATTGTGCTTCGCCACATCCTGCACGTGTGGCTCCACCATCAGCAAGTCCAACATTTCGCTTGCTGCGGAGGGCGCCTCAAAGAAGATTGCGGCCTGCAGACACTGCACGGAGCTCTATGAAATAACAACTAAAATAATTGCAGACCGTACACCCCAAGCATGTCACATGATTGGGAGCAGTAGCTACTATGGATATCGAAAGCTTGTTCGATTCAAGTCCCGCCATCACATCCGTGCGCCCAGACAGTTGGGAGTCAAAGCGTAGGTTGTGCAACAGCTCTGGCTGACGGATGGAGCGCCGAGCCAACTCCCGCACCACTTCCAGGCCAGCGTCCTCGTTGAGGCCCACCAAGAAGTAGATGTCACTGAAGAAAGTCGGCTCCGACAGACTGTTCAGGCAGGGGGCCAAGACGTGCATCATGTGCTTCGGGAAGCCTTACCAGACAGCGTCAAGACACCTACCCAGCTCTACACCACAACATCTCCAAACACATGCCTCAAGTCCGTTCATATCCGAATATCCCCAAGTCGCATCAAGTCCAAGGGGCGGCTTCCGTCCAGGGCTGCCAGCTCCAATGGCGTTTTGCCGGCCATCTGCTTGTTCGGGTTCTCTTCAGGAACTCTCACATCGAGCCCTGCCCGGTGCCTCTCACGTCGTGCTTACTTCGCGCTTCGTCTACTACGAGTTCTCTACACTGTTAGTAGCCGCTACACTTACCGTAAAACGATCTGGCAACTCCTGCCTCAGCAAAGACTGGACGAGGTGAGTGACCTGACTCTCGGCTTCTAGTCCACCCTCAATTCCACGCGTGGCCACAAAGTGCAAAGGGCTCACGCCGTCCTTGTTGCCGGCACATGCATCGGCACCATGGGCCAGTAACCAAAGAGACAGCTCCACGTTGCCTGCATTGGTGGAATCGTGGAGTGGCATGTAAAAGTCCTCATCCCACTCCTCCGCAGAGCCCGCGTTGGTGTTGGACTGCTCATTCATATTCATGTCACTCTGAGGCGCCACGTGGTGAACCAAACATGGTGTGTTTACATATGTTGCAGAGTCAATGCCTGTGGCTTGTGTCACATGCTGCAAGAGGACGTGCATCACCGGAACGGCACCCAGCCCAGATGCAACGTGAATTGCATCTAACCAAGCTTCGTCCATGCTACCCGGCTTCAACCGGTACTTGGCCTTGGCGCTGAGATCTGACTGTGAAAGGTATGGCAGCAGTCTGGCGACACAGGAGTTCTCATGAAGTTGGGCCGATACCCAAACGGCGAAGTGAAGAAGCTGTGCTCTCAACGGGCGACCCTTGTAGATCATAATGGCATTCATCTCTTCGTTAGTTCCGCCCCGGATCTTTTTACAGTACAGTGCATCAAGGAGCTTGTCGCGGGCTTTCTGCACCTCGTCAATATCAAGGCGATCATCCAGCTCTTTCTTGGAAGACAGCAACAAATTCTCCAGGAAATTGATTGGGAGGTCAAGTGCGGCATCGGACTGCCCTTTGCTGCGAGAGTTGCCCAGCTGCTCCGAGAGCGCCTGCCGTGTCCTCAAACTCCGTTTCGCCTCCACCTTCTCCTCCGCTGCTGAACCGTCTGAGGCCTGTTGACCAAACATGGCACCAAAGGCGTGCATGGCGTCAAGTGAAAAAACTCTTCTGGATTCAAAGCGTTCTGGATGACTCCCTATGACTCCCTGGGCTACCTTACGCTCCAACTCGCCTGGGCTACCTTTGTGGAGCAGACCGAATCACACGATCAACACGCCTACATGGTCTAACCGTATGCCCAAAACATTGGATCGAGCTCCCTTGAAAATGGCAGGGAAGCTTTTCAGCCCAACACGGCTACACCTCGGTACCCGGTAAGTGCACTCGTGTCACATGCCTCACGCCGTTTACGAGAGCATTGCATTCGGGCAGGGGTCCAGCTGGCCTGCCTGACCACCTGCGAGGCTGCAAAGCTGAGGCTTTAGGTGCCAGAGGTCGATGCGTCGATGCGGGCCTTGACCGAGATGGATGTGGCTTCCTGGGAGGCCATGCTCGCCGTGGCCGGGACCCAGCTCACATACCTGGAGGTCAAGACCCATCTCCTGTCTAGTGAACTGTCTTAGCACTGCTTTCGGCAGCCTGGAGGAGGCAGTCGCACAGGCTGCTGACGGAGAAACCGACTGCAGGCGGAGCAGGCAAAACTAAGCGAACCCCCGGAAAGCATCGGCCAAAACTTGACTTGCAATAGACAAAAGCAAGCAAACCAGAGTACCCCGGCCTGGGGGTCCGTTTCTGCGAGCAGACGTTTAATCTCCACACACCCCAACTGAACCTGAAACACAACAGAGAACACCTCACCGTTTGGGGTAGACTGTAGTTTTCGGGACACCAGGTAAACCCTCATCAATAAGTAACCTGAGACAGGGCTAAGACAAGAAAATCAGTAGAAAATCTGAGGCTCGTTGTTTAACTCAGGGCTCACCCGAAACAGAACCGGAGCCTGTTCTAGGAGCTCTACGGCCGCTCCAGTGTCCTCCATTGAGCCCAGGATTCAGAACCAGAACCTTCGGATTCGCCGGATGCCGTGACCTTCACGTTCGCAATCGGCTGCAACAATGAGAAAACCCGACTACCCTGACCCGGGCCGATGAAAGAATGCTCTTATCCATCGCTACCGCTGCCCCCGACTTTCCCCTAAGTGCAATCTGTCGTAGCAAGTTGCTCTCTTGACCCGCTCATGCTACGAGCATGTAGACGACCCAGACCGGAAATAATGCTTGCACCCAGCTTGCACCTGTTGCATAAGAGCTGGCTTCCAGCTGACGGCCCTGTCATGACAAAGGTGCACATATGCCAAGATAATTGTCTTGTGGCAGCAAACCTTCTGTGCAAGTGCGAGATCTTGCAACAATGGCCATACGCGCGGCGTCGAGTGCAAAGCCTCGGACCCTGGAGATTTGTGAGTGTGAGCGACTGGCCTTCCCAGGCGGCCTTGAGCGTCCAGAGGACCCTGAAGACCGCTTGAAATGAAGCACAAGGGCACTGGCATGACGCAACAAGACAGCATTCATGGGTTCCCCATGTTGGCTAAAGGCTGCAGCATAGATGTGCGCAGGCTGGGATCCGTAAGGCCACGGCCTTGGTCGACGGCAGCCCTTGGCCTCGGTCTTGCAAACATTCTGGTGGTGTCCTAGTTTCGACTCTCTGGGCTACAACCAGCAGAACGAGCCGAATCGAGAAAACCGAGAAAACTCTTCAACTCCAAAACGATCACACCGAGCTCGATCTGCACTCTCAACTCTCTCCTGGACGCTCCGAGCATGCTGCGAGAGTCGCACCTGGCAGAAGCTTCCAGTTGTCTAGTCGTCGCTGGCTAGAAATGGAGCCTGGAAGATGATTGAATGCCCTCAATCCGGGCTGGCTTCTGCCACCTCAGCTATGCATGAGCTACCTCGCATGGAAACTGGCTTTGGCTCCAACTTCCACCGGCGAGACGGGCTGTTTGTCGGCTGCGAGTGAAGCGCTCCAGCTTCGGCTTCTGAATACAGAACACACGCGGGTCAAGCACCGCGATTGGGCATCCACAGCTCAGCGTAAGAGTACAGCAAAACATGAAACTTCTTCTCAGGGTGGAAATGCGACATGCGACAAGTTTGTGCAGAATTCGCATTGAAGCGCCGAAAGCTGATCTGGCACGTCAGAGCTTCTGCCTTTGGCAGGCAACTGTCTCGTGCCCGATGGCCCCAGAGGTTCAAAGTTCAAAGGTGCACCTTCCTCAAGTCCGAGGACGAAGATGGAAGCGCGTAGATGATCGCTGAACAACATCCCTGCTCGATATTCATTTGTTCGTAAAAGTACATGCAGATGCCCATCACGCATTCTTGCGATGTCATGGCTCTGCAAAGAGCAGCTGAACCTTCAACATCACGATTTGTCGACACGGGCCGTCGTCAACTAATCATCTCACAATGCGACATGAAGATGGGCTCCTGCTATGCATCCATGGGCGGCTTTGAACTGGCTCAGCTGCTCTTCTGAAAGGGGCACGTTCCACTGCCTCTCACATGAGCTCATCCCAGCACGATGGTGCTAGGAGGAGGAGGTACTGGATCCTCAGCTCCGTCGTGTGCGGATCTCTTATCAGTGTTGATTTAAGGATCATCGCTTCGCGGGTCTTCACCGTATCCGCAGAACTAAATTCCGTGGGTTCTGACAAAGCCCCACGTATAAAACCACAGCATGAGAAACTTCCAGACCTGAGAGTTGCCCTGTGAGGTTGTCGATCGAACATGGCACACATGAGCACCGCGGTATCGCTTGCCCCCTAGTCTCGCGGAGTTGCCTGCTGCCGCGTCAGCCAGGTGACAACAGTAAGCTGAATTGTGACAACCTGTGATGCCGCTGCTGTTGGAACAGTCTCGTGCCGCACCTGTCAAAGGTTGTGGACACTCTTCCCGAGTTGTTCGTGGGGCGACTTGCCCTGTTAACCATTTCGTCGCACGCTGGGTGCGCTTCTTTCTTGACCTTTCTTCTTCTCCCGGATCTTGCACTCAAGCACTAGAGTCGCTAGAGGTTGCAGGCCGCATGAAGAGACACAGCCGAACAGGCAGCAATGGTCAACTCGAAAGAGAAGCAAGTCTCAAGATTACTGGATTAGACCCAAAGCCTTTACTTGGGTGCTGCCTGAAATCTAACTGTTTGCCCACGATCTTGTCTGGACCGGCATAGCTTTGCCAGCCCACCTGCTGCGAAATCAGCTATCCGAGATGCAAGCACAACAACCACACGGCTTTTTGCACCAGGCTCCCATACAACTTTCTGGTCTCTGCTATGCCTCTGCTGCTGAGGTCACAGGCGCAGGCAGGCGATCTTGGGGCCAGAGCCTCCTGGCGGCTTTGGACTTCAGGAAAGCACAATGCACGGTGGCACCGATCCAATTCAACATGGTCCTGCGGGCTTGCAGATATGCTCTCCGGCCCTGGTGGTCGTGAGACACACCGTGATAGATCAGCTCCTTCATGTCAGGTCCGCTCCTGAGGCACAGCATTGTCATGTGGCAGTGTGGAGCTCGATGGCTCCTGAGCTGCTGCTCGTCTTCGAGCTTCAGCCTGATGCTGCGCTGCCCGCAACATAGCAGCAGCATACAACAGCATGGTATAGCAGTATAGCAGTGACTGCCACGGTTGGTTTCTTCAGAAAGATTCAGAAAGCTTCAGTAATTAATGATCGAACGGCAACCGACCGCCTACTCCTGCGAAGTGATTGGCAACTTTTCATGCTGTAGGGACGAGGGAGATGGAGGCGAATTCGTGAAGAAGCCAGCAAGGAGATGAGGACTTACCAAGCAGAAGCACAAGTAAGGCACGGCCACCTTGTGAATTGTCCGACTTGTCCCTTCAGCAGTGACAGACTATGTGACATCCTTCGCAAAGCCTCTCTTTACTTTGAAGCAGCCTACACAAAGGACTTGCTTCTGAAATCGATTTTCGCAAGAATTTGCCCCTCGTTTTTGAATTTCGGCCAGGCCAAGCCCTAACGGAAGTTTTTCGTTTCTCCGAATGGTCGTCGGCCTTTTGCCTTCTACCGGCCGGATTGCTCGCGCATTGTTCGTGCTCTCTCAGAGACTCAGCATTCCCCTACACTGATTCCCATGAAAAGCGGAGGATGCCTTTGCTCAATGTAGTGCTCATTGCAGGACATCATCTCCAGCTGTCGGTGCCCGCGTTTCTGCAGCACCTCGCACAAAGCTTACAGCATTTTCTTTGCTCTGAACATGACGGAACGTCAAACACCATTTTCCCAGCCAGCGGCTGGGGCGGACTGGCTGTGGGTGAGCTCCGATCTGCTGCTTGCTGGTTCTGCATCCGAAGCTGCCTCGAGCAAAAGCCACCACGAGCTCTACCATCAAAGAACAACACCCCAACAGCCTGCGAGGGCGAAGGCTTTTGCTCCGCAGCAGGTGGCAAGGGGACCACCCCATTCTTCAGAAGATACTTTGCCTTGGTGCAAGAGCACGTGGCTACCTTTTTTGCTCACTGCTCCGATTGGCTTAGAGCAGCTGGCATGCACGTGGTGTCTGAGTAGCACGGCATCTCAACCGAAAGAAGTGATGCATGCTTCGTCTGCATGGAGGCTGCTCTGCAAGGGTCCGGATTTTGGCCAATCCAGCTAACGCCACCCCGGCCCGCTGGCGGTACAGACGCCGCAGGCTTGCGCAGGTGGGGCAGAGACTCCTTCCAACCTGAGCAGTCCAGAGCGCAAATCAGACTGAGCTCACGTCAAGCAATATCGCTACTCGCAAAGCACCGGGCCGTCCATGTAGCGAGCATTGTGTCTCTTGAACTTCTCTACGACTCGCACCTGCACTGCACCAGGCAAGCGGCAAGCCATCGCAAGATCTGTCCCAACAGCAGACGCAGGCAGGAAAACGCCTCGAGAGCTTTGGGCGTTGGCCTCCCGATCTTTCCGGCCGGCATCGCGGCGAAAGGATCCCAGCTCGTCTTGCTCCCTTGAGCTGCTGGTCTTCTGGCCTACTGTGGCTGATGGGGCCTGCGAGTCGCGACCTTGCGGCTTGCATGCTCTGCTATGCTCTATTCTATGCGGTTTCTAAAACTCCACTATCTCCGGCCTGGCCTTCTACGGCCTCGGTCTGAGTGCGGCTGAGTGTCTACACAGGTCTGAGGCGTCACGAAGCGTGATCCCCACTCTGTTTCTCCCCACCAGCGCAATGGAAAGGACAGGGATTCACAAGGCTCGCATGCGCTGTCATGAGTAACAGTGAGATACAGTGAGTAACCTGCCACGGCATGAGGCCAAGCACAAAGCAACCAGTTACTACATGTACTGCGCCGGTAGGAAAGTTCGTCGCACTCTATGTTGTTCACTTGCAACAAACTCAACAAACCTGTCCAGAACCTTTTTACCCCCTAGACTCCTCGACAAGTCCTCTGCCCGGAACAATGATATTAGTATAAGCTCACTACGGGATGGTACTTCCTCCGCCAGCCAGGCTAGGGTATTCTTCACTTTCTGTACTCCGCCTACTCCGTTTAGTGTCTCTAGCAGATGCGACGAAACTTTATTACCGGGCATGTATGGATATTCTCAAAAAGCAACTTTTCGTACTTATTCGCATCCGAGCAAAATGAGAACAGCATAAAAACTCATACAATAGCCTAAACACAGACCCGTGTACAAGAGCTCCCTTAGAAGGAACTCCAAACACCTACCAGTAATACAAGAACCTTTACAAGACCTTTAGCCCGTATCCTGCTAAATCCTAGAACCGTGAACCCAGTAAAACTCTAAACCCCTACTAACCCCTTAACCCTTACCAACCTCCTACGAAATCCCACCCCTTCAGCCCCAAACCCTAAACACCTAAGCCTAAAACCCAGAATATGGCTCCACATATAAAAACTCTGAGAGGAACCGTCAACCCTAAGCCACTAAGCCCTTAAACCCCGCCTCACAGGGAGGAGCAGATGAGGCTCGAGGCTGGAGGGGCAGCTAGGCCGAGGAGGATCCATCTGAAGCGGTTTTGTAATTTAGGGTTTAGGGTTGAGGGTGTAGGGTCTACGAGTAGGGTTTAGGGGATGAGGGTTTGGGGTATAGGGGTTTGGGGATTAGGGTTTAGGAAGTTTAGGGAGTGCCTTTTTCGGGATCTGCAGGGATTTAGTGTTCAGTGCTTAAGGGGTTTAGGGTCTATCTGGGGCGGCTTAGGTGGCATTTTGGAAGTTTCAGGGCTTAGGGCTATTATTGGGTTGCAGCGCTTGTTGAGGATATGTCGGTGGTTTTCAAGGTTTTGGGTGTTAACAGGAGTTCGGGATAGGGAGGTTTGGGGTTTTACCTTCAGGAGCCCTAAACCCTAAACCCTAAACCCTAAACCCTCAACCCTAAACCCTAAACCGCTCAGGCTCTGGGGATGAACAAACAACCCCACATAGCTAGTTCTCCAAATTCGCGGCCCTTTGTACCTTTTTTCATAAGGGTCCCGTGCTATATTGGGATCCATATAAAGGGACCCTAGTTTAGAGAACAACCCACATACTATCAACCGCGCAGCACCCTGATACCAGATAGCACGCATGCGAGTAAGTCAACGGTGCCCACGAATCCATGGCAAGTATCGTCTTCTGTGCACCTAAGTTCCACGGAGCTCTGCCGGCTGTCAGTCCCTTGATCCCTCCAAGCAACAGTCAAGGTGCCGAATCGATATCGAGAGACGGACGGGTGCTGGCCGACGACAGCTCCTTGCACTCGGTCCAAACACAAATCACGCTAGATTTGCGGGTTCAGGGACATCTAAAACTCTAAAGAACGTTAGTACAACTTATTTCGGCCGCCTACATTTATAATTAAACTAGGAGCTCTGGCGCTGACAGGAAACCAAACCATCTTAAACTCCCTTACACGCCTGTACAAAGAGGTGATAGGTGTATGTACCCGTGGCAGATGCAGAACACGAAAGACACCAGCGCAGCTCTCGATTAAAACAGCACTACAACCCGTGCGAAGAAAACAACAGTACACACCTGCAATTTCATATGACCCTTCCCACAACCTAACAAAGCACAGAGGCACTTATGCGAGGCAGCCCTTTTTTGTACGGTGTCCCATATACATATAATGTGTATATATATATATATACACACACACACACACCCGTCTCTCCATGTCACTCTCTCGCTCTCCCTACAAAGTATCCCCTTTAGAGCAGAGCGTGGTAACCTCGAGCTGGCGGGCTGGCAGACTGCGGGCAGCGCTCTCGTAAGCCTGCGAGGGTTTAGGCTTTAGGATTTAGGATTTAAGCTCACGCTAGGGGGCTTTGGGGTTTTAGGGTTACCGGGGTATCCCAAAACCTACCGTTTTAAAGGTTAGACCCTATAATTAAGGGGTCATAACCTACTATTTCGTAGGGTTTGGGATACAGGTAGGGTTTTCCGATTTAGGGGTTTTTGGGCAAAACCCGAAACCCTAAACCCTAAACCCTTTAGGCTCTATAGGGTTATGGCATGAGAGCCTCGGCTGATGGAGTCAAGGGGCTTTGGGCCGCTAGGAGCCTTACTAGAATAGGGTTTTAGGGGTTCCTTTAGAGGGTACCTTAAAGGGTTCTATAAGGGCTACTAAATAAGGGTTTAGGGTTTGGGGGTCTTAATAATTAGAATAGGGTTTTGGGGCCCATTATACTATAATCATAGTAGGGAACCCCCAAAATAGCGCTGGTAATTAACATTGGGCCCTATATTAAATTTAGGGTTTATAGGCTGTAGAGTAGGCCTTGGCTGTAGTTCAATGGTCCAAACATCAAAATCGCTAGGTGTCGAACCCTTTACTCTCAATGGTCTTAGGCACCGAGGGGCCTATGTTGGGATGCTTGACCCTCAATGCGAGGGTTTTGCAGAACGCCCTCCCCATCAGAGCAGGCATCAATCCTCCTTGCGCGAACATCCGACAACATGCAACCAAACTTCATCCACCCTCTGTCCAGGGAATTGTGGGACGTTGAACAGCAATTCCGAGTCCCGGCAAGGAGCACCATGACTGTCAGGGCTTACATACTACTCCCTTTAGGAAATCTTGCGCCAACAGGCCATGCCGTAATTCCTAAACCCTAAACGAGCCTTGAATTACAGCCCTAAACCCGACTCGAAATCTAAGCCAACGCCTAAACCCTACAACTCCCGAAACCCTAAAATACCCAACACGACCCCTTAACGTTAAAGCCCTAAACCCCAAACCCTAAACAGTAAACCCCAAATACTAAACCATAAACCCCTAACCCCTAAACCCCTAAACCCTAAACCCTAAACCCCGAAACCCTAAACCTTAAATCCTAAACCACAAAACTTCAACCCTCAAACACATTAAAGCCTAGTAGAAGCCCTAATACCCAACATGACCCGTTAACGATAAAGCCCTAAACCCCAAACCCTAAACCCCAAACCCCCAAACCCCCTAAACCCTAAACCCTAAACCCTAAACCCTAAACCCTAAACCCTAAACCCTAAACCCTAAGTGGAAGCCCTAAGCCTCCACCATCTTCCGGCGGAAGGCGATCCACGAAGCATCCAGCAAAGCCTCAAAAGCTGCCTTGCCGTCCTCGAAAGTGCAGAGCTGCACAGTTTAGGGCTTCGGGTTTTCGGTTTTGGGGGTTTTCGGTTTAGGGTTTAGGGTTTAGGGTTTAGGGTTTAGGGTTTATAGGGGTTTCGGGTTTTATTCCCTTGGGGGTTTGATTTGATGGGCTTCAAACAACCACGAAGACCAGAGCTGAGATTTCAGGGCCCAGGGCTTGGAGTATTCGGATCAAGTCTGCGGGATTTTGAAGTTTAGGCTCTAAGCTCTAAGCCTAAACCGTTCTAGGGTTTTCAAAGGCTCCAGTACCCAAGTAGTAGGGTTTTTTATGTATCAAATACCATTCAGAGTGTAGTATCTGGGACCTTAAACCCTACTATCGGGGTACTTTGGGATTTACATAGTCTACATGTGGGTAGTTCTCTAAAATTAGGGTCCCGCTTTAGATCCCCAATATCAAAGGACCCTAAAAGGGATCCTACTTTAGACAACTACACATGTAGATTCGAGAGTTGAAAGTTCACGTTCCATGGTCCGGCTCCGGATGCTGGGGAAGTTTCGGGGCTTAGGGGTCCGGGACAATGGTTGCAGGCTTTGCCCTCAGTTTCTTCGGGGCTGAGTACGATAACCCCAGGACTGACCTTTCAATTATGGTGGAACTCTATCTATCGATCGATCTATCTATCCATCTTCGAAAAACACACAACACTTCCAAAAATGACGTTTTCCTTATCAGGCAATAGGAATTGCGCAGCATCGGGTTTTGACATGCGGCATAAGTTCTAGATCGCTTACATATGCTTCGGGTTTAGGCTGTATCCATGACCGGACCTCCAACAACCTACCTTTTTAAGGATTTGTATAAGGAAATCATAATCGGGAACCCTGAAAAGGGTATTTTTGCAGGGTCCAGGTAGGGCACAGGGTTCGGGAGCAGGAAATCGGTGGGTCCTCCGGCCGGGACATCGCAACCGGTCAGCGCAAGGTCTGCTAGTCTGCACGATTATGCCTAAGGCTCCATGTGCCTACATGGTTTACACTTAAAGGGCCAAAGTCCATACTAGACTGGGTTCTTGTTAAGGGATTTAATCGGCAATAGGGCGGGTGCGATGTGCTAAATGCTGAACAACAAACTCTCCCCTAGACTCGACCCTAAATACTAAACCAAAAGCCCTAAACCCTAAACCTTGAATGACCTGAATAACCGGCCCCTGCTAGCATAGTACATGGCTGGCCCGAATCAGCTGCAGAGCTGACAACTCATATGGGTGGTTGTCAAAATTATGGTCCCTTTTGGGGTCCTTATTATAATACGGCACCTATTATTTAGGGTACCCCTAAAGGGACCATAATTTTGACAACTACCCATATCGCCAAACCGCGACCCACCAAGTGCCACGAG